TGGGCACTCCCTCCCCAGTGCAGCTCTTCGCCGATGTTATCAGGACCGGGTTATTGAGCCCATGGAGCGCTGGCCCCAGGCGGGTCTCCGGGAGGCTCTGGCCAAGGTCCTGTAAGGCCCCACGGAGGACTGTTCAACCTTCCTGGATAGGCTGCAGAAGGCGGCGGACCAGGTCACCTTCAACTCAGGGACCCAAGAGATTCTCATAGGGGAGCTCTCAGTTACCACCATCAACCCCATTCACAACGCCTTGACTTCTCGAGGGCAAAAAAATGGGAGCCTAACTGACAAAATTTGGATAGCAAATGAGATCCATCCCAAGGCTATGGCCCTCGCAGAGGTCCTAACAGCCACAGTGGCCAGGCAAGGTGTCCTGGGCCCAGAGGCCCTCAACCAAAAAGGCCTTGTTTTATTGTGGGCAAGGTGGGCACTGGAAAAGTGAATGCCCTTGTAGGCGCCAAGGCACAGGCAGAAAACCTATGCCTGACCCCACTGTCAGGCCAAAAACACCCTGCCCCATCTGCCAAAAACCTGGTCACTGGGCAGCCTGGTGCCCCGAGAAGCCGGCAAAAAACGGGTAGCGGGAGGGCCAATAAGTCCCCATGGCCCTCCCCCGAATGACTCAGAGGGAGAAGTCGTCATCTGCCATGGGGACACCCCTGCCATAGCCCTCAAATGTCAAGCCCTGCGACCCGGCGCCCAAGCCCTGTGGCCCATTATGGATGGTGCCGGCTGCTTTGATCTCTTCACAGCCATGATCAGAGACTGCCAGGAGCTGGGGCGGTCCCCCCAGTCCCCCTGGGGGCCAGCCTAAATATCCCACCGGGGCTTATTGGCTGCGTTGATGTCAGGTGGCCGAAATGACATAATTTTGACACAGGAAACAATAGGCTACTCCCGGGGATTCGGGCTGAGGTGATTCTCCAATAAAAAATTACAATAATCTGGACTGGGACATGCGCACCGGGGATCACTGCCCAACTCGCAGTACTTGGCACGTCCCCCATCCGATGGGGTCAAGCCCAGGCATTCCCGGCCCTGGGCCTGGATCGTCGACCTGTAATCAGAGTACGAGTTGCAGGCCTGGAAGTCTGAGGCCACCTCGAGACAGGCGCCGGCAGCTCGGTGGTTGGGAGGGACTTGGCTCATGGTACTGGCAAGCCACTGGATCCAGTAGAGGGGGCAGTGTGGGGAATTGGGGGCCTCCTGGGACAACTACAAAAATTTTGAGCGTCTGTCACCCTGGCCCTCCCGGGCTATCAAATAAAGGAAGAGACATAGGACCCCTAATTGTCCCAGACCTGCCCCATGTCATCGTCGGCCGGGATGCCCTAGCAAAATGGGGCATTAAGATCAAAATCCTGGAGGTGGGAAACGAGTGGGGGACCCACTGAAGCTGACTCAGGGCGATTCCCTGACCCTGTCCGGGCGCCTGAGAATCATCTTAAACAACATTGGCAGGAGCCTATTGCTAAGCCCCTGGACACCACCAAGGCAGGACCAAAAATTCCCCAATGGCCCTTAAGTAGGGAGTGTCTGGCCACCATTAAGAACTTAGTCACAGAAAAATTGGGGGCAGGCCAAACTAAGCCGTCAGACTCACCATGGAACACTCCTTGGTTGGAACATTGCTTGCCACAACCTGGCCAGTCCAGGAGGGCATCCCTTGGCTGGGGAGACCCCTACGACCCACCCACATGTCTCAATACTAGACGGCAAGGTCGCCTTTTTCACAGCCCCCGTGAAACAGGGGTACAGGCCTTCTTTTGCATTTATGGTTCCCACGGCCAACTGCGAGGGTCCAGCCCCACGCTCCCGATGGACTGTGACTCCCCAGGGCATGGCTTTCTCTTCAGAAGGGTGCCAAAAGGCCCTGGCAACCATCCTTGACCCCTGGCGGGAACTGTACCCTCAGCGCATTGTGCTGGCCTACATGGGTGACGCCCTGCTGGCTAGCCAAACTGAGGAAACCACAGGACCTAATGGCTACCCTTAATTCCTGGGGCTTCCAAGTTCCAAAAAAGAAACATACAACATGACCCTCCATTCAAATGCCTGGGCTGGGAGCTTGCCGAATAGTTGAAACGCCCACCCTCACCCTTGCCAGACCATCCAGTTTAGTGGCGCTCCAAGGCCTGCTAGGGGAACTCAGCCGGAGACGACCTGCTGTTCCTGAGACAGTCTTTATCATGTAAACAAATAAAGTGTTTACCTGAGTTCCGTGAGTCATTATCAACAAGTATTGAACCTACAGGGGAAGGTCCTGGGAACCCACTAGTTTGTGGTTGGCCAGGAAGAACCACCAGCATCCCGGGCACCCCCTTTGCAGCTGGTGTCTGCAGGGGGCCAGCGTGGTGAGACCGAGTCCTTAGCCCATGGAGTCTGCACCAAGTTCAGACAGCTCCTAAGCTGAATCAAACTGCTGGACATCCAGTCAGTGTCAGAGGACTGAATGATGTCGGAAAACACACACTCACTGGTGTTAGATGTAGCGTCAAATACGGGCACAATAACCAGCACACTGCCCTAAGGACGAGGATGACTAGCCCTGAGCTCTCAACTAAGCGTGTTTCCTTCCTTTCTCTTCTAACCCTCAAGATAGGATTAAGTGGACAAGCTGTTAGTAAGCCCGCCAGGAAAGCCCAACTGGAGAGAGGCTGAAGGCACGCTTTCACGAGGAATAGCTAACAAGTGCCAGGTGCAGAACTCACAACAGTGTTAGTTTCCCATTGCTGCTCTGACAAGTGGCTGCAAACTCAGTGACTTGACGCAACACAAGTTTATCATCTTACTGAGTGAAAATCAAGGTGCCCCCAGTGCTGCATTCCTTCTGGGGCCAGAGGAGAGAATCTGTTTTCTTGCCTTTTCCAGCTTCTAGAGACCAGCTGCATTCTTCAGGGGAAAAAAAAAAAGATGTAGGACACATGAGTATGATGAAGACAGGCCAGGTAGTAAATGAAAATAAAATCTATTTTTTCCCAGATTTTGTGATTTCTTATGGCATTTGCAGTTGTTAAGTATTTGTTTTTTCTCATGCAAAATAAGTATACACACACACACACACACACACACACACACAACACACACACACACACACATATATATATATATATTTGTACTTAATGTTGTTTTTATATTTTTATCTCCTTTTCCTAAAAAGGGCCCTAGGTTGATTAGTATCAGGAATCAAGTGACAAGTCCTGGGCCTGCTCAGGAGAGCACTGTGCTCCCCTGTTGCATCTTGGGGTCACGTCCCCTGCTGCTTTTACCCGGAGATCCCTGTAACGAATACTTTTCACAGTCTGCCATGCCTGAAACGGTCTCACTCCTGTCTGCTCTGATACAGTCCTCCCTGACTGATACACCCCTTCACCTGTCCACTTGCTGCCTGGTAGTCCGAGGACCAGATGGGGGGGCCGTCTGTGCAGAGCTGCCTGCTCCTCCTGAGTGGAGGAGCTCCTCCTCTCTGGCTTCCTGGAGCCCCCTGCCCTCCCCTCCCCTGGGCTCTGAGTGGGGCATCACACGCTCTCCACACTGCAGGCCTGCACTCCTGAAGGCAGGGGTTGCATCTGTCCTTATATAAACCTAGCACCGTGCCCAGCACAGAGTAGGACTCACATCGTGGAGTGAGTGAACAGCTTCCCAAAGCTGGAAGAGCCTGGGGTAGGCGGGAGAATGTTCAGGAACCCAGGGGTGTGAGCAGGGCAGGCGTGGCCCGTGGAGGCCACGGACCTGAAGGCAGATGTCTGGGGAGAAGCAGAGGCCAGCGGTAAAGACCTGATTCCCAGGGCGACCTGGAGGAAGTAACACCAAAAAATTTTTTTTGTAATGCGCCTAAACCTGATAAGGAAGAAATAAAGATGGTTTTATTCTAATCAGCACTGCATATTATATATTTTGAGATGAGACATTTGAACAACCTTTAGTTGGCAGGGGCCTGTGATTACCATTTTATAAAGAAAACTGCCGGTGACTTCCAGGACTGATGTATTTGTCTGTCCTGTTCCAGGCCATGTCCTGACCTGCTGGGACTGAGGGAGCGAGCCTGTGCCCGGGAGCGGGTGACTCCCGCCCCCTCCTGTCTCCAAGTGCCTCTCCTTCATTAATCTGTCATTTTTCCATTTGGCCCTCTTCTCTGGTAAAGGAAAGGAGAAAAGCATTAGAAATAACATTCTAGTATTTTAGAAGTTACAGGTAGATAACATTAAGCATCATGCCTTTTCTTGTGTTTTGTTAAAATGTTCCACGTGCTGCAGAAACTCATGGCCTATCTAGGAATCATTAAATGCTCCAAATTATTAAAACAAATTATGAGCACAGGTGCTTCACAAGCATGGAGGTTTAAATATGGGGACTTTATTTCTCACCTGTTACATGTATTGGTACTTCAGACACATTAATTTCCCAGCTATTTCTGAATTATGTAAAATGGTGTTTTAGATGACATTGTAAGGGTGGTTTTTTCCCTCTGCAGAAAGGGAAGATGATTAATGCAGTTACAAAGATGTGTATGAGAGACAGAAAAGTATTTCTTTGTGGGTGGGAAGTGTTTCTCCAACCGCTCGGCAAATGTAGACGCAATAAAACGTCCAGACCAGGCACCAGGCAGGCCGTGTGCATTACGCCCTCCCGAGCTGGAGTTTGTGGCAGGAGTTCCAGACAAAAAGAAGACCCCCGAATCCTGCAGGCCGCACCCCAGAGCATCCTGGTATGATCCCTTTCCTTACAGGAAAGCAGTTCCCTGCGGAACAATGACTTCCAGCCCTCAAAAGCTAACTCCAGGCTGGGATGTGGAAATACGAAACGTTCAAGTCAGAAGAGTTTTTACATTTCGTCTAACCCAACTCTCCCATTTTCCAGAGGAGGAATCAGAGGCCCAGGGAGGGAATCACTTTACACAGTTTGTCAACGGGGCAAAAGTGGAGTGGCTTCTGCGCTGGGGTTCTCTCTGCAACGTGTCACGGCGGTCCCCACATCTGACCGCTAGCCTGCGGCTGCTGCAGCTGCGCTCCGTCGCGTCCAGGGAGGCAAAGTTTGACTACAGTTTGGAACTACTGGTCCTCAGCAGGTGTGTGACTTGATAAAAGCTACTGAATCTCTTTGGCCTTGGTTTCCCATCCACCTGGGGCAGAAAGTCATTATTGTCTCCACCCCAGTGATCAGCGCCTGGGGGGGCAGGGCATCTGGGCCTCGCAGGAGGGACTTCAGGTAACGCGGCCTCTCTGACTCTATGGTTTACCTATTAGAATCTGCATTTTAAAATGTATCGTGAAGGGACATAATCTGTACATTAATGGGGATGGAAAGCAGAGAAGATAAGGGGAGAAAGGGCATGAAAGAGAGAATTACTTGTTTAGCAAGAGACTTTTTGTTTTACCATTTTCACACAATAAACAGATCCACCTGGAAATTTTTACTTGGGGTCCCGGAATTCAAACTACACATTGAGGAACTTTGGTAAATTTCTTCAAGTTGTCTGAGTTTCAATATCCCCGTTACAATATCGGGATTAAAAAATATCTGAATGCTTTTAGGTTCTTTCCAAAATACAGTTGGGGCCTTTACAGAGAACATTCTTTATTGGGCATCATTGCCCGCATCACCGGGGGGCCTTGGCCCTGCTGGGGAGCACAGCTTCATCCTTCTCTCCTCAGTCCTTTGCCCAATAAACCAGTGTTAAAGGGAAGGGGGAACTAATCCCCATGGGCACCTGCATGTGCCCCACCAGCCAGGCTCACATCCTGAATTTTATTTAAGGTTTTGAGTGTGTTCTCATCTTTGTGCAAACACGGCCTGTTACGTAGTCAGAAACCATCACTGTTTGGCTAAAAGCCTACCATCAAGGAGGTAGGGGGCCTGCTCCCCTGCCCCACCGGTTGGTTCTGCACCGCGCATTGCTCCTGTCTCATCAGGAATGCCCCTGACCTTGCTGCTGCCTTTGCTCTGGGCTCCCGCAAGGGGCGCCTCTGTCTGCGTGGCTCACTCCTGCACTCACTGAGGTCTCGGCTCTAAGTCACCTTCTCAGTGAGCACTGCAGCCCTCAACACTGTGTCCCACTCTCCTTTCCACCTTTTGCACCCGCACTGTGTTCAGAAGGGCCTCTGCTTCACATCCTCTCGGGACCTGGGGAGGGGGCGTGTGAATGAACCACGAGCCCACAGGGAGGGATGCTGCAGTGTTTGGTGAACAGCACCAATGGCCACCATGACCTGGATCTAGCTGCCAAATACTTTGTTTGTCTCTTGCTCATCCGGAAAGACACGCTCCTCCTTTCTTCAGTTGAGGCAACCCAAAAGGTCCACCAGTCCTGTCCCGAATGTCAAGGTGACCTGTATGTGTGCTCCTCTCTGTATCAAGTTTGAAAATGGCTTTCCCTGATCCAGCATCCT